ACAAATTTTCAGTAAAGGGACCATAAAGTATAACTCTAACTCTATAATATATATTATACAGGTGCATCTCAATAAATTAGAATGTCATGGAAAAGTTCATTTATTTCAGTAATTCAACTCAAATTGGTCCCTTTTATTGGACTTAAAAGCTGCAGTAGTACACAACAACCACACACACAACAACAACAAAATTATAAAGAAAAAAAAACAGTTAAAATGTCATCACACTTACTACAACTTACTATTTAAAATCCTAATAGATACAGGTATAAATTAATTCTCATAGCAATTACTTCTAAATAATGGAACCCTATAACGCTTCCCTGATGGCAGTAATTGATACGTTGGAAATAAAACATGGCTTGAATCTCTCATTATTGGTTGTGCATTCTTAAAATCTAACAACTCATAAATAGACTGAAGTGATGTATACTCCTATGACTTTCATGGCAACTTTGACAAGAAGTACAAGCTGCGATTTTGTTTGAACTGAAAGATACCAAGCTACCATACCACCAAGCTTGCATTCCGTAAACTTCCCAAAACTGCTTGGTAAAACAACAACATGATTTTCTGACTTACTCCGACCAACCTAAGTCTTCTTTAAAAATATAGTCTTTGTTCGAATCTTGAGCAGAGATAATCAATGTAGGCTTTCCAAGTCAATGACCACCCCAAGATACTTGAAGTGATCCACTTCAATAGTGTCACCTTGAATAATTACTGGACTGTAATCACCCAATCTTTTATGTTTTTCCAACATTGACAATAAGGTGATTTACATTACACCACTGCACAAAGTTCCTGATTTCAGACTGATATTCTGATATGTCCTGATTCTTTTCTAACAGACTTAGTATTGCAGTCTTATCAGAGTATGTAATAATATAGCTGTTCTTGTTTCTACTAAAGCAATCATTTGTATATAAAGTAAACAGAATGGGAGCGCATACACAACCTTGAGGGGCATCATTGATTTAACATCAGATAGTGTATCATATATAATCTTATCTTATCTTATCTTATCTTATCTATCTATCTATCTATCTATCTATCTATAGAGAAGGGGGGGGGGCATCATTCTTTCTGTACTATCCATATCAATAACAATAATAATAAAAAATAGACCAACGAATTTATCAATTTAAATAAATTGATATCATTATTTAAAAATTCAAGTTAAATGTTTTAGATTGCAAGTGAATTGGAAATATGTTGGATGTCTTTTTCGACTGAATATTTGCACAGAAATCAAACCACTGAGAAAGTTGGTATAGTATTAAGTTAGTCTTCTTATTTCCTCCATGTTGCAGGTTCTACTCACATGCTGCTTTTAGTACAGATAGAGATACAGTGAACATTCAGCATGCATACTAACAAATTCTGGGAGAACGACCCCACAGCAGCCTGACATCACCACACAAGTTTAACTGTCCGCACGGCCCTATCTTTTAATCAATATATTAGGGGAGCCAAGCAATGATGACAGGCTTCGTGACTGATAAAGTGACCTGACGAACATTACAGCAGCTTTATTCACCCAACTGGACAGATAACGTCCAGAGCAGAGAGAGATGATGATGATGATGATAATGTTGTTACAGGGGCCGCTAGTGCATCCAGACTGGCCCAAATGTCAGCTCCAGCTATCTCACTCCTTAGACTCTACCACCCCGTCTTAAGTGCCCGTCATTTCCGAATGGACATTTAGCAAATTATCCTTTTCTATTAGACAGAGAAATGGCTCCATGCCCACATAAAAGGAAATCAGAAAGGCAGGAAGTGTTATGCCTCTTAAGAGATTTGAATAATCATTGTGCTCTCCAGTGCGTGGCATGCCATTCGTCATGCGCCAGAAATAACCATCTTTTTCTTGGTATCACCAGTGGTTTCTACACCATTTTGGTGAATCCTCTGAATTCTTTCTCAGTTTGCATAAGAGGTCGGAGAAGAGTGGCCAAAAAGAGATCATTTCTATTGCTTAAAAAGAGATAATTTCTATTGCTTCCCTGCTTTGATTTACACGTCATAGATTCAGGCAAGTCAAGCGCTTTTTTTCTTGCTAGTTTCACCATGTATCAGTAGTTCAACTTAATAGCTTTAAATTATCAGGTGGAAACGTGCTAGAATTTGCTCTTCCGTACTAGTCATCTATCGCTCCAACAGCTACATCAACCGGACTGTAGAGAGATGAGCGTTGCATGGGGCCAACAGATGCCCCGCCAAGAGATCCTTCCCTCCCTCTCGCTTCCTCTCTTGCACCGTCAGCAAACTGGCCATTACTGGAGACTCAAGTGTGCAGACACTTGTTTCCCACTGGCATGACAGAAATAAATAAAGTTGCACTGTTCTCCTTTTTTCAACGTGTATGTTACTGTTGCAGTGGCGGTGGATATAGAGCTCGCTTGTCTTTCCGCAGTGGTGGTTCTGCTAAGAACAGGTCTATCAGACACAGACAAGTGAACAAATGTCACTGAGCTTAAAAAGACCCATGTCTGGAAAAAAAAAGAGGGCAAGGAGGAATGACAGGAAGCAAATGGAATGCATTAAAGTTGCCTTTTTGTTCTCTGGTAACTTCATTTGTCCCCCACATCCGACTTGAGAAATTGGAAGTGTGCACCTTTCTCTCTGAAAAGTCGACTCTGATAGACGGAGACAGTAAGATGGACGGAAACACATACTGCGACAGACACGAGAGAGAGAGAGAGGTGCAAACAGAAAAATAGACAGAAGAGACTGTCAATAATGTCCACAACCTTGAGTCAGGGATTTGCCCTTTGGTGACAATGTGTTATTCATGGAACATTTATAATGGGCCTGATGAAATCTCTCGGCTCTTTGAGATGCAGAAACTTACGACGCTTTATCTCGCTGTCAGCACTCAAGTGATCACCCCAATGTCCACTGAGTGTCTCTGAGCGCCCTGCTCTAGTAGTTTTGGATCACACAGAATGTGAGATGAAAACTAGTGGCGAAAGAAAACAATAGAAAAACCAGAGGACATTCTGACTGGTTCAGTATCTGATGTGAATTCTCTGAGAAACCATAAAGGCTTTAATTAGTTTATTCCTGGAACAGTAGTTGACTGCAAACAAAGTCAAATTTTATTACACATTCAAAGCGATCACCATTTGATAAGATAAAACCATCAAGCTGCCCAGAAGTATGTCAGCTATAGCAAAAATGTATGTTTTGAGATGTATTAGATGGAAAGATGAGAGATAAACACAATGCGTTCTGGCATTTTAATGAGATTTCCGAACACATGTTAGCTTTGCATGCACACATGCACTTTTAAAAAATGCAATACATAGGTGCAAACCATGCAATCTGCAAACCATGTTATCTTTAATTTGTATGGAGTTGCAAAGTTAAGCTTTTCTTGTTGATGAATATGGCTTTCTTGTCACTTGTGTCACATGTGACTGCCTGTAGACAATGTCATTTGGTTGAAAAAGCACAAACAGTCCCTGCTCTGGTTCTGCTTCCATGAGATCTGATTCGAAGATCTGAGAATGTTAGATTCTCTGGAATTATACATTAGACTTGACGCCTCCAGCATTACATAAAAAACTCATGCAAATATGCAGAGCTTATCAGTCTCCTCGTGGTTGAAATGGCTTGTGCATCTCAGACTCTTTCTTTTCTGGCTACTGTCTATCATCAAAACAAACCTGAAGAGCCTCAGAGATCAGAGACAAACCTGAAGAGCCTCACCTATCACTCACACACCCTCAAGGTCATCTTAAACAAGATGCCGTCAAATATATGTGCATATAAGGCATTTTTGAGAACCCGGACGAGCCCCCAAAAATCTGATTCTTATGGTTTTTCATCCCTACTCGCCTGAGCCTACTGAGCATCATATTTGAATAATCAATAATTAACCAAATTAACAACAATTAAATAACAACCTTCTTTCTTAACTGACCCTAAAACTATGCTGTTCCTTAGCGCTAATGAGTGCCATAGCCATTTCTTATATGCAGAACGACCAAACATAATACAGGTTTTGTCCAATAGCTGATATAGCCAAATATTGTTTTATTCATGATTTTTGACACAATAAAAACAAACAAAAAAAAATAATCATTAGCTTACTACAATAAAAACAGCATACATTTTGAATACTAATAACAAAATACTTGTGTTTATTATAATTATTATTTTATTATATATTAATATAATAATAACAATAAATGCAATGGAAACCATTTTTAATGTTTATCAAGTTTGAAATGCTATGCATTGCTCAGTTAAAAACGAACTAAACGAATTGTAAAAAAAAAGTTATGAGGAATTATGCAAACAATAAATTCAAAAGTAAGTATTTTACTTGTAAACAATGTAGTTTCTTGAACACTTTGTAATGTAATGGCATTCTTGGGTGTTATTTTCAAATGGTGCCAACCGATTTTAAAGAACCGATAACCGACAAATGTGAATCAGTAGAATTATTGGTCAAACCGATAATCCATATATCTGTAATATTACATATGCACATATCTACAAATATCCTAGACAGTATTTTCCCAAGAGAAAGTGCCTAAATCACGTTAAAAAGTCGTGAAATAATGAGATGCTGCAAAGTTATACTTTAACGACGACTTAACTCAATTGTGCATTATAATTACAATTATTCAGACTGCTCAAATCAATAAATAATAATGCCTGCTGAAAGACGTCGTATAATGCCTTTCCTTACAACGGATATGAGTGTATTGTTTAGACATAACGGGTCCGCGCGCGTATAAATAACAGCAGAGGTAGAGATTGCAATATTAACAGACGTCATTACGTACGTTAGAATTCCATGTTAGAGCGTTCCAATTCCACGACTTAACAACTGGAAAAAATATCACCAATACAAAAGCCTCGCGTTCGCATGGTTTTAACTGTGGACACGGGTTGTTCCCACATTACGCAGCCAATGTAATAGGTAGTAACGCTTGATGGAGCGATTTGAAACATAATTTTTATCCGCCTCAAATCCAACTTACCGGGATGACAGTGTGCCCAGCGGAGCACGAGCGAGGAGAAAAAAAAAACTCCTTTAGTGAGTCCTTTGGAGAGATTTTTTTTTCTTTTGAAGTTCGACCAAGCCAAAGGAAACAGTTTTTTTTTCTTTTCTCTTTCTCTCTCTCTTTCAGATGGCTGAGCTTGTAGTCCAGAAGAGAAGCATTTCAAGGGGACAGTGGATCAAGAGAGAGATGTTAGAGGAGCAGTAGTCCATGCATCAGGCTGAAAACACAGAGACAAGAGTTGGAGCGGCTCTGGAAGCTTTCCATTCCGCCATCCAGGAAGTAGCGCATGAGCTGAAGTCTGGCAGAGACTTTAAAACAGGCTTGGAAGAGAGAGACAGGGAGAGGAGGAGAGAGAGAGAGAGAGAGAGAGAGAGAGAGATCCGCCGGATCCTAGCGCCGAGCCTGTAACGGAGCTGCTGCTGCTGCTGTCAGTGTGTGTGATGGACGCACAAAGGCGCTCTCCTTCTCTCGCTCTCGCCTTTATCTGGGATAAAACCAAACACTTCAGATAACATCAGCAATAAAATCACTGCATGCAAACTCTGTATATGGAATTATCAGCGGGATCTTATATATAAGGGTGAAAATTTGAAACCAACTTCATACAGCACATTCTTAAAAAAATGCATAAACTGATTGCACTGATTTCAGTCATGTGAATAATGCTTAAAAATCATAATTTCATGGTTTGAATTAATAATTCAAGTCATGTCAAGTCAAGTGAGCTTTATTGTCATTCTGCTGTAGGCTATATAAACCTACACATCACTAACCTATTGAAAGATGTAACCTAACTACACATATACTTTACATAAATTCTTTACAGATACCTTGGACATATATTTTGAATTTCATATATAACAACTTGTAGTGCAGTGCAGTGGTACAAAAAGACAAAAAGTGCAAAAAGAGACATTCAGGGTGAGTCGGATTGCAGTGAGAATGTAAAAGTGTCCAGTGCACTCAGAGAGAAGAGAGTATTACTACAGGTGGATGGCCAACTCATCCACCTACTGTATGTGCAGCCTACTTAGTATTGCACGTAGGAGTTGTAAACAGTTTTATAGAACAGTCCTTGGAGAACAACAGCAGCAAGAGGTGAGTGTGTGGTAGGGTGAGAGCTTGGACGGGGGTTTCAGAGGTGAGCGGGGTGACTGGAGTTGAGCAGGCTCTGATGCTCACTCAATTCTGTTTATACAATGGATATTAATACAATACAAGGTTATCTAAAATATTAAAGGGGTCATATGATGCGATTTCAAGTTTTCCTTTCTCTTTGGAGTGTTACAAGCCAGTTATACATACATGTGGAAGCTTTTATTTATTTATTTTTTTTTTGCAAAAGACAACATATTGCGTGATGTTGCCCACATTTAATAGATTATAGTTGAAAAGAGTCTTGCTTCTTTTGTGAACAATATACACTGAACAATATAAAAACTAGACTGACTGCAGATCATTCATAAGTTTAACCCTGTTCTTATTCATTTCAGCATTGTTTTTTTAATTATTTTTTAAACAAAGACAAAGAGCAGCTGTCTATATAATTTATTCATTAAATACCATTCATGTGTGTTTTAGTCTTTAGTCATGTTTGTCCTTGTACTATGTTACATCCTGTCCCAACCTATCAATCAGTCCTACTGTCTATTTTTCATTGAAAAAGGATAAATGAATCAGTAATACTGATGGAGGAGGACATGACATTAAAAAACTCCTTCTCAAACTGAAGTGTGCTGTCAGTACAGAACAGAGGAGATTTTTTATTAGCTATGAAAGATTGCTCTTCTAAAGAACTTGACTTGGCAGCTCGTGACATTGGACAGATATTATACAAGAACCATAAGAAAGAAGTACTCAGCAGTCCCTGACTAATTAATTACAAATAAATACAAAGAGATGCAATGACATGAAAACGTTCACTTCCATCATACTCTCTAAGTGTATACTGTATAAGCACATGGTAAAAAATATTAGATTTTAAAAACTATTATAATCTAAACAAACAAAGTGAAATAATCATACACCATTTTAATATATGCATAAGTACATTTACATACATTTTTACACAAATTGTGACTGATGGAATAATTTCCTCCACAACCAACCACTTTGTCTGTAATCCTATTTATCAAAATCCTGTATATTTGGTATATTTGGACACCAGCGTCAAGTATATGCTTGACATGAAATATGAGATGTGATCTGTGAAGAAAACAAAGACAAATCAAGGTGAACATCATGTGAGCCAAATGTCTGTGTGTCATTTCCAGTAATGCGGTCAATCAAATTGTGTAAAAAGCACGAAAATAAACATTCTCATTCGCAAATATTTCACATTTTTGCAAACTGGTGGGCAATTCATCTGATTTTGTATAATCTCATTTGTATGTTTCGATAATGTAAAATATCAGGTTGGCGCTCCACATGGCTCTTTTGTTTCTGTTTAGAATGATTATTTTCTATTCAATTAGAGACTTTCTTTGCCAAGTCAGAAAATCATTAAATTGATTTATTTTCATATTAAGCAAGAATGTCACATTATCATCTGATATTAGTATTATTACTATAGCTATGGCTTCCAGGAATCCACATAAACTCTGACATATATTTGAGTTGCTCTCGGAGCCACTTGAATTAATAAATGAATGTAAAGAATAGAACGGCGAGCTAATGGCTGCCGGTAGGAGGGAAAATAACAGCTGCCAATGAGAGTGAGGTTTTATGATGTCATTTTGTCATATCCAGATGTTGCCCCATTTATCCAACATCTGCATGACAGTAAATCAATATCCCCCTCGATACAAAGCGAGCAACGGATAAACCCTAAATATGCCATTCATGCCATTTTTCACTGTAGTCCGGCTCTTAATGTCATATGCGGTATAACAATAACTCCGTCCTTAGCTTTACTGAAAATGTATTACTCATAGCTATAAAAGGCCTCATAAACTTTGCAGCTGCCGGCACACTATCTTTGACTCTTTTCAGATTAGTACAAAATGTCTTTGGCGGCTAAGTTTAACTAAGTGTTTAATTAATAGTCATGTAATGCTCCTTAGGGAGGTTTCCCCCAGTTTTAAAGCTAAATCAGCTGTCCATTCTAATTAAGTCAGCTAATCAATTTCTGTACAATAATCAATCGGTTCATTGCATATGGGACACCTAATGACTTCTAGGATACTAGAAAGCCTATGGATGTCTAAGCTTGATGTTCTTAGCGCCAACCTAAAGGAAGTCAAGACCTGAGTTGTAACACCATTGGTTTAACCAATCAGAAATAAGATACAGGGCGTGAATCATTATGAACACCACCACCATGAGGTAAATAAAATAAATTCATAAAATAAATACATAAACATATCATAAACTACCTGCTCATTATGTTTTTGATGTGAGATATACATCTAATGACCTTTTTATTGCTCAATGCCACTATCTTATTATATTCAATGACAAAACTTTGTGAAATTTAACAGTATGTTATTTTTTAAATTTGTATAATACAGCGGCACTGAAACTTAAAGGGGTCATATGATGCTATTTTAAAGATCATTATTTTGTGTATTTGGTGTAACAGAATATGTTGACATGCTTTAATGTTAAAAAAACACATTATTTTTCAAATACTGTACATTATTGTAGGCATCATATGACCCCTTTAAAATAAAGTACAAATAGAAGTATCTGCCCAGATAGCAAGGTGACATTGATACAATGTTGAGTTTTCATCCAAACCATAATCTTGGTTGAGACTGATATTTCAATTTTTAAAGTATGTTGGATCAACATTGAAATTTTGATGAAAGCTGACAGCACACATGATAGAGACAGGGAAATTGAACTAACATTGGCTGTGTCTGAAAGCTTAGGCTGCTGACTTGTTGTCTCTCTGCCTTATTAGGCAATGACTTTGCAAGCAGCGTTAATTGGGCATGAAGGCACCTCACAAAACTGATTTTGTTGTTGATAAATTGCTACATCAGATGGCAACATTGCTTTATGTTGACATTTCAGTTGTATTTTCAGTATTTTAACAAATGTGATTTAGAATCAACATCAAATTGTAATATTGATCGAACATTACTTTTTTAATTTCAATATTGATTCAACAACAGTGATGTAGAATCAACATCATATGATTATTAGTTTGAAAATTCAAATAAGTGACATTGATTAAATGACATTTACCATTGATATTTTTTGTTGAAATCTCACCATTGTTTCAACATTAATTGTGGGTGCAGTGACGTTGAACCAATGTCACGTCATAACATTGATTAAATTACATTTTCATTGATTTTCTGTTGAAATCTTAACTTTGTTTCAACATTAATTGTGGGTACAAACGTGATATGGAACCAACATCACTTTGTAACATTATTTCAATGCAGTTAGCGTTGACGTAACATTGATTTAACATTGTTGCTTGCCATCTGGGTGACTAATAACATGACACTTAACAGCGAGCATCGTGAATGTGGATGACAGCAACAACAAAACAATGGGAAATGTAGTTATGGGCGCTTTGGACTGCACTCCCTCGAGAGCTTTAAAAACTACACTTCCCACAATCCCCTACACAGTCAGCGTCTGCCTCCTCGTCACGGAAGGTGAGTACATGTGTTCCGTGTGGACGATGTGAGGTGTAATTTCGGTGGTGTGATCACGGTCTCTTTAAATTCGTGTTTAATAATACGCATGTGGTGTTTATGCAAATGAATTGTCGTGATAGATGGTTTATGTCACGAATTATGCCAGCGCGTCAGGCGAATGTAAACATATTCTTTATTTGTGACAGCGTCATGCAAATCAGTATGATGCTCAGAAAATACGTCTCGCTCAGCAGTATGTGAGGCAGTGAGTTTAATGAAAATAATCTCATACCCAGACATGGATAGCGCGAAAAACGGTGTTAAATGTTGAAATGTCTGTTTATTATTATTTACTATTAAAATAAGCCCTTTCTTCAGTAAACTGTAGAAAAGCTGATTTATTTTCTTATCAAACGATTTATTTTAAACTTACATTTTTAATAGCTTTTATATATTATAATATAAATGGATTCATTATAGGAATTTCCATACATTTTAATATATTATTAATCATTCTCGTTCCAATTGCAATGACTTTGTGCCAGGTTAAAAAAAAATATATATATATAATTTTAAGATTTCCTGATAACCTCATCACCCTGGCTCATGAATAT